TGAACATCAGACTACATAACCCAACATCATTCAGAAATCCTATAATTGGATCAGAAAATGGGACAACAGAACATACGCTAGCTCCTCAACATGGCAACAGTATGAAAAGAGGTTCTGCATAATAATAGCCATAAAACTGGCAAGCCAGTAGCTGATCAAACCAACCAATGTACTAACTGAAAATTCAAAAAACATGAGAAATATTACAAACAAAAAAAAGCTTACCTATCAGTTTCAGTCATGTGGCCTAAAATACAGTTTCATATCAGCTTGTTTGTCATGACTTTTAAGTGTTATATATATATATATATATATATATATATATATATTCTAATGTCAGAAAAAAAGCCTGCTTCATCACATGAGAATGACTCAACTATTAGTGACAGCATAGAATACATACACTGAAATAAGTCTTTTTAAATTATGACATATCTACATTATGGGTGTTATGAACCTAACTGAAAAAGGTAACAACAACTGATGTGTAATTTTAAAAACTTTCGGCGAAACATTTTGTGAATAAATGAACAAAACCAAAGTCTTACAATGAGCTTTGCTCTCTTGATTAAAACAACTGTAGATAGTACTTGAAAGACAGAAAACTATAATGTCATCTCTAGTCAGGTAAATTAACAGCAATATCACTCTTTTTCGACAGACACAGAGGTTTTAACTAGTATCGTCACATCTCACAGCACAGTAATATGTGAACACGGTCATACAGCAATGTCATAAAACATAAATATAGCTTATTAAAGCAAATATAAGTGCACCATCATCTTGTAGTACAATAAAAAATATATACATTTTACCTAAATACATGAGTCAAAACATTTAATATGCTCTTCCTCGTGTCTAACATCAACATTAAATTTTCATAATCATGATGATACAAATGTATTTCAAGTATATATTTCACAAGAACAAAAGTCTAAATCGTTAGAAAATGTTGTAACATATATACATATATATATATATATATATATATATATATATATATATATGGGTTAGACTAGAGGGTGTTGTAGAACAGCCAGGCACACCAAACAAGAGAGACAACAAGAGACCAT